ACTAGTTATTTTTAATTACAACTGAACCTCTTTTGAAAATGTTCTCCAAAGCAAAAATACTTGATTGCTTATGTAACTTTAGTATGGTTAAATATAGTATGACCCTATTTTTCAAACCCAAAATTGTTAGATTTAAGTGAATATTTGATATTTGGACTTGCCTGGAGAACTGGGACCTGTGGTTTCATATTCATTTGTTAAAAAATATTATGTGTCTGCTCTGTTTCAGGCATTCTGCTAGGTACTGGAATAAAGTGGAGCTCTATTATAAAATTGTGGTAAATGCTGCAAAGAAATACATGTGGTCGCCATGAGTTGGAATCAGCTCGATGGCAACCAACAACAAACAACATGACAGCATAGTACCGGGAAGTCTTACCTGAGTCGGGTGATTAGGGAATGTTTCTTGAAGAAGTAACATTTAAGTTTAGGTGTGAAAGATGAATACGGATTAGGCTTTAGGCATTTGGGGAGATCTAAGGCAAAGGGTGAGGAACAGGGGACGTGTGGGCAGCAAGAGGGACTGGTGTTTCCTAAAGAATGTCAATCCCACTGCATCATATTTCTATCCTTTCAGTCTTCTGTTCTCTTAATGGACTAGACATTTTCTAAAACACATTTTTAATCACATTACTGTGCTGGTTAGCGAACTTCAAAAGCTTTCCATCAGTTAGATTATTACTTCCCGGAGGGCAGGGTGCTTGCCATTTTTAATTCCTTAGTCAAGGATAAAGTAGTGTATAAACTATCATGATTCCATCCTTTCTTTCTGTCTGCCTGGCACACACGTTTTTATAGCTAGTGAAAGACTTTCTGTAAAAAAAAAAAGCCTTTTTTTGTAACTCAGTCTGTATGCAGCTCTTATTCTATGAATGTTCTTTATTGTATTGAATTAAGACATTGTAAATAAGAACACAGTCCAGGGGCTTGAGGGGCTGTCTTACCTGGAGAGTGAGAGTGAGGTTGAGGTCATTTTCTCTTTTGGTCATTAAAGAGAGGCATGTCTTCAGTAGAAATCAGAACTGAGAAGGTGGTATCTGAATAGATTGGGAACGAGAAGGTTTGTCTTGTTGGTATATTCTGTTACCTACGAGATGTCACGTTGTGCTAGTCACATAAAGGCAGTCCAGAGTTGTACCACCTCTTTTGGAGGGCTCTAGTGTAAACTTCTGAACAGTACATGAAGTGCTAGTCTTCCCCCATCTTCTACATATAGGAGACACTCAAATATTTGTTGAATAGGAAAAACGTACATGTAATGATATAGGGTCTGTGTGTTTGTAGAGTAATCTAATGTTGTTGTTAAGTGCCATTGAATCGGTTCCGACTCATAGCGACCCTGTGTACAACAGAACCAAACACAGTCCAGTCCTGGGCCATCCTCATGATCATCGTTATGTTTGAGCCTGTTGTTGCAGCTATATGTCAATCCATCTCATTGAGGGTCTTCCTCTTTTTTTCCTGCCCCTCTACTTTACCAAACGTTATGTCCTTCTCCAGGGACTGGTCCCTCCTGATAACATGTCCAAAGTATGTGAGACAAAGTCTCACCATCCTCGCTTTTACTAAGGAGCATTCTGGCTATACTTTTTCCAAGACAGATTTGTTTGGTCTTTGGGCAGTCCATGGTATATTCAATGTTTTTCACCAACACTGTAATTCAAAGGCGTCAATTCTTCAGTCTTCCTTATTCATTGTCCAGCTTTCGCATGCAGATGAGGCAATTGAAAACACCATGGCTTGGGTCAGGCGCATCTTAGTCCTTAAAATGACATCTCTGCTTTTTAACACTTTAAAGAGGTCTTTTGCAGCAGATTTGCCCAATGCAGTGCATTGTTTGTTTTCTTGACTGCTGCTTCCATGGGTGTTGACTGTGGATCCAAGTAAAATGAGGTCCTTGACAACTTCAATCTTTTTTCCGTTTATCATGATGTTGCTTACTGGTCCAGTTGTGAGGATTTTTGTATTCTTTATGTTGAGGTATAATCCATACTGAAGGCTGTCGTCTTTGATCTTCAGTAAGTGCTTCAAGTCCTCTTCACTTTCAGCATGCAAGGTTGTGTCATCTGCATAATGCAGGTTGTTAATGAGTCTTCCTCCAGTCCTGATTCCCTGTTCTTCATATAGCCCAGCTTCTCGGACTATTTCCTCAGCATACAGATTGAATAAGTATGGTGAAAGGACACAAACCTGACCTGACTTTAAACCATGCGGTATCCCCTTGTTCTGTTTGAACGACTGCCTCTTAATCTATGTATAGTTATAATCTAAGATTATAACTGTGTATTTTCTAGGCCAGGTTCTTCATAATCCATGCATTCTTTCTGTTCTTTCCTTTTTATTCCTTAATATTTAGTAAAATCTTGAAAATTTAACCAAGGAAAACGAAGGGAAAGATTTTTGTGTTACGCTGGACAACAAGGTGAGCTGTGATAACTGAAGTGAGAAGTACAATAGCAAGGTGAAACTCAGGAGCATCAACTTTAGCATTTTGTAAGCTTGCCTGGGGTTCGATTCCTGCCATTGCCTCATGCACTGTCACTTCCCGTTTGCCAGTGGAAGCTTGGGTTTTGCTATGATGCTGAACAGGTTTCAGCATAGCTTCCAGACTAAGATGGACTAGGAAGAAAGGCCTTGTGAATCTACTTTTGAAAATCAGCCAATGAAAACCCTATGGATCACAACAGATCATGATTTGATCCACAGCTGATCAGGTGGATGGTGTAGAACTGGGTAGTATTGCATTCCATTGTACATGAGGTCACTATGAGTTAACAGCAATATAAAGATGCCTTTTAACGGAAGAAAGTTCTTATATATCCAGAGAATATAAGCAAGGACCCAAGTTTGAGAAATAATGCATTAGAGGTTGAATGTCACCATTTAAGAGGTTTCTTGAAAAAACAAACAAAATTAAATTAAGAAGTGGTTACTTGGTACCAGCATGATGGGAAACCCAAACTGGGTCACTAAAATGGTGTGGCAGTATTATTTTTAGATTATCAATATGAAAACAGCAAGTTCTTATAGAACCCTCAGATTCTTGATAATACATCTCCAGACCTTTATAGGTTAGGCAGAGCCCACTTTGAAAAAACATGGGTAGTTTATCTTTTCCACCAGGAAATTCAATGCTAAATCTTGAAAATTCAAAGCTGTGTTTTGAAAAGTATCTAGCATTCTGTAAAATGCCTGGAGTAGGGAAGGAGCATCAAAAAGGAACCTCTACTTCCTCCTCCCCAGTTGTCCTTACAGAGTCCCCAATTAGAGATATCATTTGGTTAACTTGTCTCTTTTGGGATGTATCTACCACTAGGAGTGGTTGTTAACCAGTCATTCACACATATTTTAATGCTAAATCAACACAAATTTTATTTCTGCCTCAGAAAATGGGAACTTTGTATGAGGGAACCTCAGTTCCTTGAGAAAAGGGGATTCTTGGATGAGGTGGGAGAGTCTGACAGGGCAGCTTGTAGGAAAGAGTTTCTTAGAGTTAGGGAAGAGAAAGAAGGTATCGAAGCAGCTGTTACTTTTTGAGTTCTGCTTAGGATCTTGGTATTATTCATTTATTATGCTCAGAATGATCTTGATGATAGTGCCTGAACTGGTTTCAGAACAACTTCAGAGGTTGTAAACTTAGCGTACATGTTTTCCAGTCCATGCTATTCCAGCACAGTTTCTCCCAATGTTGTCCCATATTCCCTCAGGAAGAGCAAAATGAAGAGAAAGAAGTCCCTTCCTAAGGGAAAAATAGGTCACATCAGTCCTGTTGGATAAGCCACCTCCTCTTGGCTTCTTCCCCTTTCAGCCTCATTCTCCATCATATTTTGTATTAAGTTATCACGCATGTAGTTGGTTCTTAATAACTTGCTAACTCTTCTAAGAGAGTGAAAGAAAACCAGTTTTGGAACATGGACCACAATTTGTGCTTTCCTACTTCTTTTGCCTCTTTTCTCACTTTAAACAACTTCCTTTTTACTGGTGTGTTAGAAGCACAGAATAAAGAGCAGCTGGTAAGGGTTAGGGAAGGAGAAAGGTAAACTGATTTTTGATGTTTGGTTGGGAGAAGTACTGTCCGTTGACTTGGTTCGGCAACTGCCTGACACAATAGATATTCGGTAATTTTTTCTTTGCACCTCATAGCATAAATGTCTTGAACAAAGAAAAATTAAACACACAAGATCAAGGCATTGAAGCTTAGATACTCTCTCATGCAAAATTCCCATTTTCCCGTTTTACTATTTAACCAGGACCTCTTTCATCTTTATGACAGGCAGTTTAGTGGCAGTTCTTCCCTTCCCATTCGGCAGTGAGGCTTTCAGTCTCCTATTTCTTTAGTGTTCTTCGACCACTTGTCTCTGAGGGTTTCTGCTTCAACGTTTTCCGACGCTCTGGCGGTCTCCCAAGCCCACAGAGCAACGGGGAGGAAGATCTCGCGTTCATTTGACGGGCTTGTGAAGCCAGGGGGTCTGTGGAGCCCGGTGTGGGTGGGGTTGGGCGCGGCAGGGGCGGGGCCGGCGAGGCGCCCAAGGGAAAGGGTGGAAGGCACAGTTGAGAAGAGCCCGGCGGCAATGGTTTCAGAGTTTTCACGAAGGCTTCGTGTGCGAGGCTGAGGGAATTGGGGTGCTTCCTTCCTGCCCCGCCTTTCCTTATTCTAGAAGCTTCAGAAGGCTTTCCTGGGTTGCTGGGACCCGGAAAGGCAGCGGCTTCAGCTCCGGGGGCGGGTCCCAAGGGTCTTGTCGCTGCTCCCGGGCCGTTTGGCCTCCTGGTATTGGGGGAGGGGCGAGGGAGGCGCAGCTCGCGCCTCCTTTTGCGCCTGCGCGGCAGGCTCCTAGCGGGTAGGAGCGCGTGCGCGGTGACGTGGACGTCTGGTGCGCGCGCAGGCTCTTCAGCTGGAGCGGACACACGGTGTGCGAACCGAACAGAATAACCCGCCCCCAGCGGGATGTGAAGGACTCCGGGTGAGGCCGGCCACGCCCCGCACGGTAACTCTCGGGTCTGGGTGGAGGGCATTGCATAGTACTGGCCCGATTGGAGTTTTTCGAGAGTTTGAAGCTCTTGTGTGTTTGAACGGCGTGAGAAGCGCTCCGCTGAGAGATCTTCGCACGCCCCGGCCAGGCCCGGCCTTGCACGGAGCCGCCTTTGGCGCGCGCTTATAGTCCCCCGAGCGAGGCTGCGCATGTCACCTTGCGCGCGTCCCCGGCCTCACTTCCGCGTCGCGCAGTGAAGTAGCTGGTAACATCGACGCCAGAGAGAGCGGCCACGAGGCGGGCGGGGTGAGAAGCGCCCTTGGCACGGCCATGTCCTCGCGTGCGTGGGGTGCTCTACCGCATGGTGCGATCCATGTGACGACTTCCAGCTCAATACAAGCTCTAGGTCGAGAATCGTGCTTATGCGCTTTGCATTTTTGAACCCACACTCGGGGTCTCAAAACTCCGAGGGAAGACGGTACTGACGTCGCTTCTGTAAGGAGCTGAGTGCAGCGTTTTGACACCTGTACAGACGCTTCTTTTAGCATGTAATTTCCGGGCAAATTATTTGAGGCGGGACCGTGAGTTTAATAAAGAAGGAGGGCGAGGAAGTGAGCTCTACATATTGAGTGGGAACTTGGTAAACAAAGGACTAGAGGTTTCCAAGTGCAGAAATGACGGCAGGGAAAACAGGTGGGGAGAGCAGGTGTTATTTTCTTCCTTTCTTTGTGGGGTGACCTGTAGCTAGTTCTCAGTTTTGGGGGCTTCTTGCTTCTGTTAAATTGCCAAGGATGGTCTCTGCCCTCAATGGTAGGTGATCTAGGTCCTAAGTAACGTCTCTCTCGAGCTCCAGTTACTGAAGTTGAGGGTTGAGGGATCTATGTGTGCGAAGAGTATGGGGGAAGTTAGAGGTTATTTCAAACTAGGTTGATGGTGGAAAGTGGTAGTGTGTTGCTGCGAAGATTTTGCCTTGCCGTCAGAACCCTGGGGATAACCTCCTCCCTCTAGCGAGGGTGGGAGCAGGGAGGGATGAAGGAAGTCTGAAAGGAGGGGTTACTGATAGCGAAGCAACGTGAGAAACCAAAGTGCACCTCCTTTTGAGGGAAGACCACTCTCTCAAGGCTCGCGTCGCCGAAGCTGACACGTGGAGTGTGAGAACTCTCGAGCCCACCCGCGCGCCGCTCGTGCGTGCTGTAGCGTTCGCCCAGGCTTCTGCGGCGCAGTTGCTGGCAAGCAGTGTCTGCTCTGCTCCTTTTTGGGCACGACGCCGCGGCTGGGCTGCGGGGAAAGTGTCTGAGGACGGCGCGACGGCTGCTGGGAAGGGGGCTGGCCGGGGGACCTGATGGCCGGTTCTGTAGTCTCCTCGGTAACAGAATGCGGCTTGGTCCCGCCGAGAGATCGGAGGGTTCCGGCGAGTGGCACGTGATCTGCCGGGACGCCTCTTCCCCGGAAGAGCTTTCCTTGCGGCATTTTTTCACGTGGTTCTTGGCCAGTTGGATTCTGCAGTTTAAAAGCGGCAATTGTGGGTCTTTGATAGTCGACGGCGACTACTTCTCCCAGGACTGACTGGAGATCTTTTAATTCCAAGGATGTCGGAGCAACGCTAGTGCTGCTTGCTGCTGTAGGGTTATAATTTCCACAGCCGTTGTGTGGGTTGAGTTGGTTGGGTTCACTGCACAGAATACACACGCTTAGGACTTGAAGTTCAGTGCGCTGGATGCTTTGGCATAATTTACTCCAAGGCAAGGTGGCTGTTTGATCACTGTCGGTTTCTGCCAGAATTTTTTTTCCAATTCTGTCTTTGCAACTGCTGGAGACTTGAGAGCTTGCTAGCTCCGAGTTGTAGTTAAGGGACCATTTCTAGGAATAGGAAATGTTCCTGAAGACAGCATAACGAGTGGTATCTAGAGAGAGGAGGCAGTAGTGCAAGTCTGTGCCTTGAAACCTAAGGCATTTCAGATATTTTGAAATTTACCTTATAGATTGTGATAATAAAATGCCTAGGACATTGTCTGGTCTGAAGTGGTTATTAATAGCAAGTACCATTTAATTAGTAAAATTAACCTAATGACAATTAAGACCTGGTGGTTGTGCTGTTTTGCTGTCTTTGTCATTATTTGCTACTGTATTTTCTGATTATATTCAAATTCTGTTTTAAGGTTTTCGCAGTTTCTAGGCCCTGTGTTATATTGGCAAATCCTGAAGTTTGACTCAACCTATTCTCTTAAAATTTGAGCTTCAGAAACATAATTTAATTTAATCAGGTCTTTATAGTGAAGGATTCTATTGAGGAACAAACTAACATCTTGATGGCTGCCATACAATGTTATAATTATTTGTTGTATGAAGCTAAGATTGTGGTGGTTTTCAGCAATTTTGGAAACACTCGGAATGTGCTGACCAACATTTAAATATTTGTGTTTTTAAAGTAATGGTATTGATTTGATATAGTTAAATTTTTTTTTGCAGAGTGTACAAATTATTAAATTAGGCAACTATTTAGTAAACTAGTGTATTTTGTAAGTTGTGTGGGGGTCATCGCTTTATTAAACAGTTCCCAAAGAGTTCATTGGTGAAAAGATATTTAAAATAGGGACACTGTAGTTGTAATACTTTTTTATGGAACTTGCCACATTACTCCCCTGAAAACACTCTTTGTAAAAGTGTATGTTTCTCTGTGTGTCTGTCTTCTCATGGGACGTTTCAGAATGTTATGTAGTTTTTGAGTATTTTACTTTGCACAACTAAACTTACTTTTTTGGCTGTTATAGTTATTTAATCTAGAGAAGTGCTTCATAGTGAGAAGCTGAACCTGAATTTTTTTTTTCAATGTTAAGGTATGTATATGTACCAAAACTGTTGTCTTCTTTAAAGCTTTTATAGAGTCAAATACAAAGTATTTTAGAATCTTGCTGGAGAGAGATTTATTTCTTCGTGGGTAGCCTAGTATGCTTGATTTTTGCTGTTGGCTTAAGGTTGTCTTATACTTCAGAGTTGTCTTTGTGTGCCTGAAAGAGCTGAATATACTGAATTGACTACTCTTTTATTAGAAAATCCAGTACAGTAGCTTAGAAGCATAGAAATATGCTTATATTGAAGTGGAATCTGTGCTTATATTGATGTGGAATAAGAATGTGATTCCTTGTTCTTAAGCTAAAAGCTATCTGTCTCAAAATCGAGATTGCTTTAGTCATAAATTAGAGCTTTCATTTTATCAACTAATGGAATAGCTTGATCAGAGGATTTTTCAAAAAGACCTTATACAAATTACACAAACTTTTTCCTGTCTTGCACATTTTTACATTAAAAAATTTTCTATTAGATGCCTGTGTACAAAGTTGCATTAGGGCAGTCTGACTTTAGGCAAAAGGAAAAACCTGAAATATGTATATGTAAAGTTAGTGTAAAATTTACTTTTTAAGTTCAGTTCTGTAATTGTTCACTAAATTGAATTTCTGTCGGTTGAATCTTTGATATTTCATAAGTTAATCTTTAAAAGATAGTGATTTTTAAAGCATTGGTTAAAACTTTTCCGTCCTGCTTTTACCCCTGTGCTGATCTGAAAATCAAGATTTTAGTACTAGGGATGATAACGTGTAAGAGATTCTGAACCCTTCATGTAGTTCATTAATTTAGAAGAGCTAAAATTTTTTTCCAGTTACTTTTTGCCACCTTAATCATATTGAAATGCATTTAATAAAAATATTTTGAATAGTTGCTCATAAAAATAGTTGGTGATTTATAACAACACATCGAACTTTATGAATTAAATACAGGACGAAGAGTTTGTACTGTTTGAGCTATACGCCATTGCAGAGATATCATGTAGTTTTTGTGAGTTCTCTAAGCTTTACTGTTTTACCAAAATCCATTGCCATCGAGTTGGTTCTGACTCATGGCAACCCCATGTGTATCAAAGTAGAACTGTACTCCATAAGGTTTTCCATGGCTGATTTTTCGGAAGTAGATCTCCAGGCCTTTCTTCTGAGGTGTGAACTTCCAACCTTTTGGCTAGTGGCCGAGCATGTTAACTGTGTGGACCACTCAAAGTCACCTATTTGTGACTTCTAAGTCTGTTTAAGTTTTGTTTTATCAATATCTGACAGGTATTGTTTAAGCTTGTTAATTAATTTTAGAAAATCAGTTTATTAAAGCCTGAGACAGTTTTTGAAAAGGAGCACTCTAAATTTTATGTCTCTGAAAAATAAACTTCAAGTCAGAGGGGATGATATTTTTTCCCCACCGTTACTGGTATTAGTACTTTAGTGTTAGGAAGTCAGTTTTTATTTTTAACCTTTGCCGTAAAAAGATTTCAGCCCGGGAAGCCCAAAGGGACAGTTCTACTCTGTTCTGTAGGGTCGCTGTGAGTCGGAATTGACTCCACAGCACACAACAGCAACAACGTAGCCGTAGTAGCAAATAATAGCCAACCTTTTTGAAGTATTGGTTTTTAAAATAGTTGTTATCCTCAGGCTTTTGTTGTTGTTAGGTGCTGTGGAGTCGATTTTGACTCAGTGACCCCGCGTGACAGAGTAGAACTACCCCCCACGGTTTTCTAGGCTGTAATCTTTATGGGAGCAGATCACCAGGTCTTTTCTCCCACAGAGCCACTGGGTGGGTTCAAACCACCACCCTTTTGGTTAGCAGCCAAGTGTTTACTGTTGTGCCACCAGGGCTGCTCATTTTAAGTTTTGGAGATTTCTTTTTGTTGATCATGTGACCAATCCTGAAAGAAGAGGTAAAATTCAAATTAGAGGCTTTTTTTACTGCTTGTTAGTAGCTCTTATGTAAGGTAAAGTTAGAATTTTTGATTAAAATGAAGAACAGTAATTGGCTGAATTTTGTAAAGCAAAATTATTTACCCGCTTACATAGGTGTACTGATCTAGTATCTTCCTTTTTGTATAAAAGCTAATTAGAGGAGACAGCTTTATGTCTTGTAGAATTTTAGATAATTTAGCATATCAGTTCCATTGAATTTAATAATCTGAGATTTCTTTATAACTCTTTGAGATATAATTCTCATAACATAAAATGCAACCTTTTTAAAGTGTACACATCAGTGGTTTTTAACATATTAAGTTGTGTAGACATTACCAATATCTAATTCCAGAATATTTGCATCACCCCAAAAACAGATGCTGTATCTGTGTTCCAGTTCTTCCTTCCTCTATCCCTTGGCAACCACTAATCTACTTTCTGGCTATATGGATTTGCCTACTCTGGACATTTCATGTAAGAGCTCTGGTGGTACAGTGGTTAAGAGCTACAGCTGCTAACCAAAAGGTTGGCAGTTAGAATCCACCAGCTGCTCCTTGAAAAACCCTGTGGGGAGTTCTGCTCTGTCCTATATGGTCGCTGTGAGTCGGAATCGACCTGACAGCAGTGGGTTTAGTTTGGTTTTGGTTTGGAATCATAATATGTAGCCTTTTTCTTATAACTCAATTAACTAATTTAGTTTTAACTTTATTTTTTAGGTAGGTGTATGTTCACAAGATAAAACATTTAGAAGGCGACAAAGGATTTATCTTTGCCAGCCACCCAGGTTTTCTTGCATATCACCAATATTACAACTAGTCTATTTATATTAAGCAAATGCATATTCTTTTTTTTCCCCTTGGCTTTTTTTCTCTTGTGACTTTTTAAAGAAGCATAGCATAATCTACAACTCTTCTATCCTGTAGCTAATTTTGTATTCATCCATAAGGAGTTTATCATTCTCTTTACAGCTTCATAGTATTCCACTCTGTGGATGTGCTATCATTTATTTAACCAGTCCCTATTAATGGACACCCCCCCCCGCCCCAGTCATTTGCTGTTGTTAATGGAAATATAGGGAATAATCTTGTACATATCATTTATCATGGGTTTGTGTATATGTGTAAGGTAAAGAAAGTCGTGAAAGAACTGCTGTGTCATAGGATAGATGCATTTGTGCTTTTGATATTTTCAAGTAGCTCTCTATCATAGAGATTCTGTCATTCTGACTCCCAGTAACTATTTGGATGAGAATGGTAATTGACCTGTGTCTTTCCACCACCACCACCGAACTTTGATTTTTGTCAGTCTGAATGGTTTAAAAAAAAAAAAAAGAGTATCTCAGGATGGTTTTAATTAGCATTTCTCTTATTCTGAGTGAGACTGTACATTTTCATAGCCGTTTGCTCTTTCTTTTCTGTGAGCTGTCTCTTCATATCCTTTGCCCATTTTTTAAACTAGGTTTTTGGTCTTGTTGATTTGTAGGAGCCCTTTTTATATCATATAAATGAGTTCTTTATAATATGAGTTGCAAATATCTTTTTCCCAGTTAGCCATTTATTTTTTTATTTTGCTTGGATGGTTTTTATCAAAATTAAAAAGTTAGAGCATATTGAATTTATCAATGTTTTTTAAAATCTTTTTGGTTTCTAGGCTTTGTGTCTTACTATTATTAAAAAAAGCTTTTCTTAGGACTTCTTTAAGAATTCTCAAATTTAATTAAAAATTAATGGACAGTAATCTTACTAAAAAATAAAATATTTAAATTTTTGATGTATCTGGAATTTTTTTCAATATAAATTCTGAGGTATGGACCCAGCTGTCTTTTTTCCAGTAAGTTCTTGGTGATTTGTCATGGCTTTTTAAGATAAATGTGCTTAGTTATCTAGTGCTGCTATAACAGAAGTACCACAGTGGATGCTTGTAACAAACATAAATTTATTTTCTCACAGTTTAGGAGGCTAGAAGCCTGAATTCAGGGCATCAGCTACAGGGGAAGACTTTCTTTTTCTTCTTTTATTTATTTTTTTATTGTGCTTTAAGTGAAAATTTACAATTCAAGTTAGTTTCTCATACAAAAATGTATACACACATTGTTATATGACCCTAGGTGCCTTCCCTATATTGTGACAGCACACTCCTTTCCACCCCTGATTTCCCATGTCCACTCAACCAGCTCCTGACCCTCTCTGCTTTCTCATCTCACCTCCAGACACAAGCTGCCCATTTAGTCTCATAGATCTGCTTGAGCTAAGAAGCACACTCTTCACGAGTATCATTTTATGTCCCATAGTCCAGTCTAGTCTTTGAAAAGTTGGCCTCGGGAATGGTTTTAGTTTTGGGCTAACAGAGTCTGGGGGCCATGTCTTCCGGGGTCCCTCCAGTCTCAGTCCAACCATTCATTAAGTCTGGTCTTTTTACTAGAGTTTGAGTTCTTCACCCCACTTTTTTCCTACTCTGTCAGGGACTGTCTCTTGTGTTCTCTGTAAGGGTGGTCATTGGTGGTAGCCGGGCACCATCTAGTTCTGGTCTCAGGCTGATGAAGTCTCCGGTTTATGTGGCCTTTGCTGTCTCTTGGGCGGGCTAATACTTTCCTTGTGTCTTTGGTGTTCTTCATTCTCCTTTGCTCCAGGTGAGTTGGGACCAATTGATGTATCTTAGATGGCGGCTCGCTAGCTTTTAAGACACCAGATGCCACTCACCAAAGTGGGATGCAGAACATTTTCTTAATAAACTTTATTATGCCAGTTGACCTGGATGTCCCCTGAAAGCATGGTCCCCAGATCCCTGCCCCTGCTATTCTGTCCCTTGCAGTGTTTGGTTGTATTCAGATAACTTCTTAGCTTTTGGTTTAGTCTAGTAGTGCTGACTTCCCCTGTAGTGTGTGTTGTGGAAGGCTTTCTTTTTCTGTCAGCTCTGGGGGAAGGTCCTTGTCATCAGTCTTCCCCTGGGTCTTGGAATTTCTCAGCACAGAGACCCTGGGTCCAAAGGATGTGCTCTGTTTCTGGCTCTACTTTCTCTGTGGTAGGAGGTCTCCCTCCTCTCTGCTCTTTTATATATCAAAAGAAATTGACTCAAGATACAACCTAATCTGTAGATTGTGTCCTGCCTCATTAGCATAACTGCGTCTAATCCTGCCTCATTAACATCATAGAAATTAGGATTTACAACACAGGTAATTACATCAGATGATAAAATAGAGGACAGCCACACAATATTGGGAATCATGGCCTAGCCAAGTTGACACACATTTTTTGGGGACACAATTCAATCCATAACATGTGCTAACAAGTTAAGATAGCATTTTACTTATTTATGAACTCATGCCAATACCATAATAAAGAGCTAGTTCTGTGCAATGGTAACATGGAAATTTACTTATTTTTTAGCCGCCCCAGAAGAACTTGCTATGTAGAGGAATCCTCTGACAAATTAATTCATAAAGTGTTGGGATCTCTTTTTAATGCAAATGACCTTCTAATTTAGCTCCCTATGTTTGTATATTTTTATACTTGTATGTAATTTTTCTAAAACAAATACACACTTGTTCTTTTTGCGTGCGATTATGGTATCTATAGTGAATTGTTGGTGGGTGGGGTTTGAGTAATTTAGCTAATTAGATTTAAATGAACTTCAGGAAAAAACTTTAATATTCCAGAGTGAATATCCTCACAGTGATTGAGAGAAGGGTAGAAGCAAACTCTTAGAAGAGTTTAGAAATATTTGGGAGATAACATAGTGATTCTTGTATTTTTGTTAACAAAATAAATACTCATTTGATTAAAGTTTCTCCCCCCCCCTCATATTTTAGGATGAGAAGGCCATTGTGACTATGTGGTAACTAGTTGTCTTACTGCTGAGTTTCTCACTGGAATCATGGAGGAGAAACAGCAGATCATATTGGCTAATCAGGATGGTGGGACAATGGCAGGAGCAGCACCTACCTTCTTTGTCATTCTAAAGCAGCCGGGAAATGGCAAAACTGATCAAGGAATTTTGGTTACTAATCGGGATGCCTGTGCTTTGGCTGGCAGTGTGTCCTCGCCAGAAAAATCTAAAGGGAAGATTTGCCTTCCAGCTGATTGTACTGTGGGAGGAATCACTGTCACTCTGGATAACAATAGTATGTGGAACGAGTTCTATCATCGAAGCACAGAGATGATTCTGACCAAGCAGGGAAGACGCATGTTTCCTTACTGTCGTTATTGGATAACAGGTTTAGATTCAAATTTGAAGTATATCCTTGTAATGGATATATCTCCTGTGGACAACCATCGTTATAAATGGAATGGTCGTTGGTGGGAACCCAGTGGAAAGGCTGAGCCCCATGTCTTGGGGAGGGTTTTTATTCATCCAGAATCTCCTTCCACGGGTCATTATTGGATGCATCAACCAGTATCTTTCTATAAACTCAAACTTACCAACAATACACTGGACCAAGAAGGGCATATCATCTTGCACTCTATGCATCGCTACCTGCCGAGGCTTCATTTGGTGCCTGCAGAAAAGGCTACTGAAGTGATACAGTTAAATGGCCCTGGTGTCCACACTTTTACCTTCCCACAGACTGAATTTTTTGCAGTAACGGCTTATCAGAACATTCAGATTACCCAGCTGAAAATAGATTACAATCCATTTGCCAAAGGCTTCCGGGATGATGGATTGAATAGTAAGCCCCAGAGAGATGGAAAACAGAAGAATAGCTCTGACCACGAAGGGAATAGTGTACCCAGTTCTCCGGGTCATCGGGTTCGTGTTACAGAAGGTGAGGGGTCAGAGATACAGCCAAGTGATCTGGATCCTGTATTGAGAGGTCATGAAACATCAGGCAAGGATTTGGAGAAGCCTTCCCTTAATATAAAACAAGACTTGCTTGGTTTCATGGATACCGATTCAGCACCGGAAGTTACTCAGTTGAAGCAAGAGGTTTCTGAAAGGTAGGTAACAATTTTTCTCAAGAGATAAAAGGAAGATCGAGGTGGGCCAGATTTTGGATTTAACACTGGAATGCTGAATATAAGCCAGTATATAATATAGTACAGTTATTTTTACATTTTTGGAAGGATAGTTTTTCATTTCTCTGTAATGAATAGCCCTTGGGTTCAGGATCCAGAATTGCAGGCAAATTGAATGACTTGCCAGAATGAGGCTCTTTCATTCATTTAGATTTAGAATTTTGTTAATTCTCCGTGACTGTTCCTTAGTAACCTATATAGTCAACTTCAGCTCTTGATTAATTGAGGAAGAGAGGGGAAATAGGGCTACTGATGGCCCCAAATCATAGCTGAAACAGAGTTTACCTAAATAAGGCACAAAATGGATTCAGAGTAAGCTTACTTAATTTATGTCTAATATTTAAGAATTTGGAGACCTGGTGGCGCAGTAGTTAAGCGCTACGGCTGCTAACCAAAAGGTCGGCAGTTCGAATTCACCAGCTGCTCCTTGGAAACCCTATGGGGCGGTTCTTCTCTGCCCTGTAGGGTTGGAATCGATTCAGTGGCAATGGGTTATTTAAGAATTTATTGCTCTGTGGATATCCTAATCCATAAATTGCCTGACTAAAAAACAAGCTGCAGTTGAAGTAGCAGGATGTATTCTTCCTTTTTATTTGAACTTGCCTTCTTTTGAATTTTAGAACCCAGGTTGGGCAGAAGTAAATTCTAGCCCAGTACTTTCTTTACCTTCTCTTTGCTCACTTAATTCCTATACCATTAACAGCTACTATTCTTTGAGTTTAGATTCCCCATGCTCATGAGTTCCCTTTGTCTGTTGGATGAGTTAGTGCTTTGCTTTGCGAAGAGTTGCTGCCAAACATGCTACTCAAACAATGTACAGGTTTTTCATCTAGGGAGAAAGTTGTTTTCAATTTGTATTTTTCATGTGATATTCTTTGTAATTGCAACCAGTGGATGTCCCTAATACTTGATTTCTCTAACCACAGTCTTAATAATCTTGATTATCTAACACAATTAAAAATTTTAAACAGTTGACCACCCCCCCATTATAATATTTTACCTTGGTTATCCAGAAGCAGTTTAATCTTCCCTTGGATGATGGAAAATTTATTATTACAATTTCTTTGGAGGCCAGGGTGAGAAGAAGTTCGTTAGGTGAAAGGGTCAGGTATATTTTTTTGTTACAGATAGCAGCTATTGGTGTTACATATGATTAACATTTGATCTTAATCAAGGAAATTTGTTTGGATTTATTAATGCATTAGTATCTCTGTCACTGAAGGGGGGAAAAGCTCCCAAAACACCTTGAAGTACACGCTCCAAGAAATAGCACTTTTTAATGTGTGAAAATGGTATTTAGCTATATGCAAACTGTCTCCAAATGTTTGCTTTGGGAGCAGAGATTATTTTAAGGCCAGGGTTGGCCAAATCTGGCTTATAGCCTGTTTTTGAATGTATATATAAAAATAGGTAACAGAATATATGAGGCTTGGAAAATCTGGATACTTAGTGTCTGCTCCTTTACAGAAAAAGTTTGCCAACCTCTGATTTAAGGCTTAAAAAATTTTTTTTTTTTTAAATTTACTGCTTCATCCTCCATTTTCTACTCAGTCCGCTGAAGCATGATTGTTTGATCATTCCACTTTGTTTTAGTTAATGTCATCAGTGGATTCTTCTGTAAACCCACCAATCATTATTCAGGCTTTGTTACATTTGCTATTGTTTGGCCATTTAAATGCTCTTTTTTCTCCCTTGGCCTTTACCCTACCATTCACCTGGCTTTTCTAATGCTTCTAACTGTTTTCAGTTATCTTCAGTGACTCATCTTAATATAGTCAACCATTTCTTAAGTGTTACTTCCAAGTATTATGTTCTTAACAGTTTTATTTCTGCTCCTACCTAAATATTGGTTATTTTTAAAGCTAAGAATACCTCTAGCCTAGATTTGTCTGTTTTCTTAGTTCCAGACTTCTAAATCAAACCAGCTCCTGGAATTCTACCTAAAATGTGTTCGTTTTTATTGCCAACTCAAACTAAATTTTTTTTCTTTCACCTTAAACTCTGTTCTTCTTTTTACTCATCCAGATTGGAAACCTCCACATTATTTTTGCCTCCCTCCACAAATCCATTAAGTCATTCTCCTGTTGGTGGACCTTTGAGTTGTTTTCAGTTTTGACTACTCTGAATACAGCTGTGAACATTCTTGTGCATGACCTGTGGTCATACGCACTCATTTCCCTTTGTTACATATCTAGGAGTAGAATTACTGTGTTGTAGGTTAGGTGTATGTTTAGTGTTAGTAAATACTGCCGAGTTTTTAAAAATGATTATACCAATTACACTTCCACCAACAATGTATGATGAGAGTTCCGGTTACTCCAACTCATTGTCAACATATGTGGTATTGTCTTTTTTGTTTTAAGCTATTTTGGTCTCACTGTCTTCTTAGGCACCTAATTCCATTATTGGATGACTGCTTATTTCCTATAAGTTGAAATTTGTGTCCTTGTTCTCTCCTTTCTATATATTACCCCCCCTTTTTTTCTATTAATTGTGGTTGTAGAGGGCAGAATTAATCTGTGTCTTCATTTACATGACCTTCAGACATTTGGAAACAAATTACTTATATCCCTTTAAGATTTCTGTTCTCATTTATTTATTCAGTCATTCACCAAATATGACTGAACACCTTCTAGTTTTAGGTACTTTTCTAGGCACTGAACAAAACAAATTCCTGCCTTATGGAGCTTACATTCTATGTTAGTCCAACCTAAATATTCCCCAGTCCTTCAGCTTTTGTACATGTGACATAGTTTTTAGATATTTTCCATTGGATCGATTGATTGCCACACTGCCATGGGTAACCAGCACAAATATTTTTTTCCCAGGAAAGTACATCAGAATACAAATGAGTGAGAACAACATTATTATAGAGAAAACCAGTCTAGTTTAAGAGGAAAAATAAAAATAAAAAATTAATTCACGAATATCATATTAGACATATTCCATGTACATAAGACACATTCTGTGTACATAGGTGCACATCCTGTGCCAGTATATGCATGTGTACTGCATTTTTTCAGGGCTGTGTTAGTAGCATCCATAGGATGGATTTAATTACAGGTTGTCTGTTGATGACTCTTCAGATTGTTTCCATTTTTTAGCCATTACAAATAATGCTACAGTAAAAAAACTTACGCACATATTCTTGTACCGTTTTGCAAGTATAAGGATCAATTTCTAGGGGTGGACTTGCCTGGACCAAAGGGTACACAGATTTTAAGTTTTGATTAATTGTTAAATTACATTACATAATTTTATAAACCATTTATATCCCACCCATAGTGTATGAGCACACTGATATTTATACCACCTCTGCTGCTACCATTGTAGTCCAAAACACCAACCCCACTTCATTAACATCTAACTGGTTTCCCAGCTGCTTTTCTTCTTCCCCTACAATCCATTCTCTGCTTAGCTGGCAGAATGGTCCTTGGATGATGCGAATCTGATTGTTACTCTCCGGTTTAAAAACCTTCATTGGCTTTCCATGGCACTTAAAGACTCCTTGCCTTGCCTATCTCTTTGGCCTTATCTTGTACCATGCTTTTCAGAGTTTGCTACATTTCAGCCACTTTAGGGTTCTCAATGTTTCTCACACTTTCTCAAACATTACGTGTATTTGGTTAGACTTTTTCTGTTGATATTCTCTCTATTTAACACCTTTGATGTTCTTGCATATTGTAAAATTGTTGGCTCCGTCTTATTATTGAGGGCTAGTCACGTACCTACTTTATTTTTTATCTTATTTCCTAAGTAATTGTTCATTCTGTTTTTCTAGACGCTTCATAGTATTCATCACCATCAAATGATTTTATTTGTTGACTGGTTTATAGTCTTGATTTCTCCACTAGAGTATGACCCTCATAAGAATTATAAGGATCTTGTTTTACTTGGTGTACTGATTCTTCAACTCTAGGATTATAGATTATACCTGAGGGGTACTTCATAAATATTTGAATTTATATACTTTCACCAAAACCTGAATAGTGTCAATGAATTGAAAGTTTTTGGAGTATCAGAAATACCATTTATAAACACTCATTTGACTTCCCATTGCTAAAGACAGTCAATCTTTAGCCTAACATTTAGCTTGATACATTTTTGCCTAACCATGATTCGGAGCCCTCGTGGCATAGTGGTTCAGAGCTCGGCTGCTTACCAAAAGGTCAGCAGTTCGAATCTACCAGCCGCTCCTTGGAAACCCTATGGAGCAGTTCTGCTCTGTCCTGTAGGGTCGGTATGAGTTGAAATTGACTTGATGTCAGCGGGTTTGATATTTTTGTTTTGGTTAACCATGATTCAGAATCGACTTGACGGTAACTGTTTTTTTATTACATATTTCAGTGAACACAGTTTTAGAGGGAAGGGTATTTTACCCTTTTGAGAAAATTAGATTTTCTAATTAGTGAGTTTCTTCCTATTTCTTCCCCTTTTTTTCTTTTTTTAATTGTACTTTAGATGAAGGTTTACAGAACAAATAATTTCTCATTAAAGAGTCAGTACACATATTGTTTTATGACATTGGTTAACAACCCCACAACATGTCAAGACTCTCCCTTCTCGACCTTGGAGGACTTTTTTTGCTGAAAATATACATAGCTAAAGATACACCATTTCAAAAATTTCTACGTGTACAATTCAGTGACACCAATCACATTCATTCTGTTGTGCTGCTATTCTCACTATCCTTTTCCAAATTATTCCATCACCATTATCTTCAACTCATTGTCCCCTAGGCTTCCCATCAAACCTTTTGAGTTGCTGTTGTCCATATGATTTCCACTCATTGCTTACATTTTTTCATTTCTTTATTAATACCCCCTGCAGTTTGCTTCCCTAGCCACATTACTGTACTTTGTTCTCTCAAAGGTCAGTATGACCCACTTGACAGATTAATTAGCTTGTTTATACGCTTATTA